AATTAAACAAGGTACTTAACAATTTTTTTGGGCGCTCCGCGTACACATGAAAAGAATTGACTGACTTATATCGTTAATTTTACAGCTTTTGAAAGTATAAATGTTTTTACAGAACACTAGAAAAGAAAATGATTTTAATGGAACACAGCCAANTAAAAAGTGCTAGGTGTTCCTCTGGAAATTAGAATATAAGTAAAGACAATATTTTTTCAAAGTTTTGCAGAGTAGCTTTTCTAAAGATTTAAAAAAGTAACATCTTTTTCCTCTTAGAGTAAAACTATTTTTTATGTTACTTAAAATAAATTCAGTTGTTTACAGATCTTTGTAGTTAATGTAAATGAATGACTATATTGAAGGGTATAAAACATGGTGAAAGCTGAAAGGTAAGAAATGAAGCCTATATTTGGTGGAGTTTGTAAAAGCCAGAAATGAGTTGAAAATGCAACTCAAACCCAACTAAAACCAAAAAAATTGATGCGCCACAATATAAAAATTTCCCCCCCCCCCTCCCCCCTACAGAATCCTTATTTACACCCCTGTGAAATATTAACAAGTTGAAAATTGAAAATTTATAGATTATGTTGTTGGTCCTTGGTTGAACTTCTTAGTTGTCGAACGTGAAAATTATATAATCATAGTATTGGCTGAAATTTCTAATTCAACTTGCATGACATTATTTTCCTTGTAAGTTAGTTGTTTTATTTAAATTAAAAGTTAAAACTTCAAAAGTTCCTAGACGTAATTATTGCAAAATTTCGTAAAATTACTTTGTAGAAATTGAAGTTTTGCTAATTACGCGTAATTAATACAAAATTTCGGGAAATTAGGCCGTAATTACGCGTAATTATAGTTTCGCTTATTATGCGTAACCATTACAAAATTTAACAAAATTACGTTGTAGAAATTATGCGAAATGAATATTTCCCCAATTACGCGTAATCCTGCGAAATTACACGAAATGAAAATTATTACACGTAACTGCATGTAATTACGCGTAAGAGAATAATCTATTACGTTGGAAACCCTACACTACAGCAGTAGAGGAACATCTTATATGCATTTTCAGTTACATTGGTAAAAAATGTCATGAATATTAATATGAAGTTACCAGTTGTCTAACCATGATTCTAGTAGACTTCCTTCGTTCAAGATTGTCTCATTGTAAAAATTCCCATCTGCAATAAAAACCTTGCAAATTATAATAAATTTTTTACTGCAATTAATGGAGATTTTTAAGTTTTCCATTGCACTGATAACTTAATTTTAAAATTAACAAACCTCATTTGACCAAATTTGAAAATAAAGCCCAATTTTCTTTCAGCTTGGTTTTTAAATTTACTTGGTTCTACTTGGATGAATCAACAAAGTGCTAGCTAGTATGTAAACCATGGCATAATTTGCTGGTATACCAACAGTGTCTAGAATTTAGCTTTTTTTGGCGAAGGAAAAGTCTGATAGAATAGGGATAAAATCAAGAAATCAAGAAAATGGCTTTATTTTGCAAAAACAAAAATTTGCACTGCCCCTTCCCACTGCCTTAAATGAAACCAAACTTGCTGTTTCTCAAAGTATATATTTTAGCCTCAATGATTGTCCACAAATATTTAATGTGTAAGAAAAAAATACCTGCCTCTACCTGAAATCCAATTAAAAATTTTAAGAACCTGATTTTTTTAGCATGAATACCTTTCACAAGAAGGAATATCTGTAAATGAAATATTGTAATTTCAACGAACACTTTAATGTGCATTATTTATTAATATACTATTTGTCTAGAAAATATAATTCAGGTAGGCAGCCTGGAACGCAAACTAACAATGATATTTAAATTAATTTTATTTCAATCAATTATATCAATCAATATATACAATTTATATTATTATCTTCATTTTAATTTAATTAGTTGAAGAGAGTAGGGGTCCCTCAAATATGAACATGAAAGGCATTCTTTGATTAGGTTTGATTTCATAATAGTAAAATGCCAATAAAGATTTGTTTTGTGCAAAAATACCAATTCTTTAAGAATTGGTATTTGTGCTTTTATGAATAGTTAAAATGTATTTATATGTTTGAATTTTTTTGTGAACATCCTGTGAACACTGTGTATTTTTACGTATCGGCTCAAGGTTAAGGATACGCCTTAAACCTAACATTGAAATCTTGGAAAGATGATTTCATCAGTTGTAATCAATCCTTGAGCAGCTCCAAACCAATTCTGTACCAATAAAAAGGTTCTAAAGGTTCATCTACACCTGCAGCTTCAAGCAGCTCCCTAAAGAAGCAGCCTTCTACAGCTCTGCTACAGAAAGTTCTAAAGGTTCATCTACACCTGCAGCTTCAAGCAGCTCTCTAAAGAAGCATATTTTATCATTTTTTGAAAAATAAATCCAAACTTTTTTACTATATATAACTGGATTTCAATATATATGTATCCTGGTTTTCAAGTGCCCCAGCAGGAATAAGGTTAACAAAGGATGAATAAATGAATTGAAAAAAAATTGAACCATCACTTTTAGTAAACAATACACATAATTAATATATTTTTCTCATTTCAGTTTAAAATAACACTTGGTTCCAATCAGAGATCTTTTCCAGCAAACAGAGCTGGTATAGAATACTAGTTAAAAAAACCAACAAAATGTTGGAAATATGTTGTCAGGATATTGGCATAAAAAACTCCAGCTTCCCATCCAAGTTTTGCCCTTTTGTAAAATGAGATCAAAACTGGTATATTTGTTGAGAATACCTGGGATTTTTAATAAATTTCTGGACTTGGAATATACAAATAGTAATACATCTACTTATCCTTATCTTTTAAGGAGTGTCAATTTACATACTATCAAATTTTGGAAATTTAACTTAAAGGACATGTTTCAAACCTTAGAGGATTTATTTAAACTTAGAAATGACTGAGCAAGAAAAAAATTGTCAGAATCCTCTTGTGCTTAATGGGATTGTTTAAATTATCAGTCAGTTTGAATGATACAAAAGAGATATATAATTTTTTTAAAGTTTAAAAGAATTACAATATATGTCTATACTCAATATTAAAGAATAGTAAATAACAAATTAATTTGAACCTAATGTAGGTTTTACCAAGTTAAAAAAAATTATCTACAAGTTTTTTACTTTATCAATTTATTTCTTTTTAATTTTTTATGAAACAAATATTTTGATACATGTATTTAATGCAGAATGCAGATTATAGTTTTTCCAATCTTCTTGTTTCCTGGCTGTCCTGCTTTGCTCATTCAATTAGCTGCATCCCCCCCCCCTCCCACAGGATAGTTAATATGCAGTTTCAATAGCTGACCAGGCAATTTGTAGTATTTCAATATCAGCTGTTGAGTTTCTGTATTTATTCCAGTTGTTTCTAATATTGGCCATCTATGCAGGTTTATTGCTGACATTGTTGTAATGAGAACTTCCGTTTGTTAGCTGCATTACATGTATCAGTGTCTTGCAGTAATTTAGAAAGAAATTAAAAGATCTCCTAGCCTTAATTGCTTTCGGCTAGGTTCAAGGTGATTTAAATGTACACCCTAGGAAAGAAACACCCAATGATACCAATGATGATCTCTCTCAGAAAGTTTAATTAAGATTCCACAGCTAAGCAGTTTTAGAGTTCATCTGCTCGTGAAGTAGGATAAGGTTGGAATTAAGGAGGTAGACGGATGAGGATGGGTGTTTAAGGGTAACAGGTATGAGATATCCCATAGTCCTCACTTTAATCATGTATTCCCACGTGGACAGATATTTATAGAAAAAATAACCCACTCCATGCTGTCCCATTGCTTTAAAACACAGGGAGTGTGTCTTTTGCCTATCATTGTCAGAGGTCTGCCATGAGTAATCCAGTTTCCATTTTGAGAAGGGTGAAAAACCAGTTTATAGTATTTGATTAAAGTCTATTGAAGGCTCTGTTCCCACTTAAAACCTGTATAAGCGTGTACTTCATCCCTGATGTTTTGAGGTTCTGTATTCCTTCTGTATTCATCTTTATTACTATATCTTGTTCGGGATTAGTCACGCTTTCCACTCAGTTGTGGAGAGAGTGTCTTTGCTATCTAGACTTCTATACAAGTACAACACACATAGTGCCCTTTCTCTCAACAGGCTTAGAAAGCTCTGCTGACACCGTTCCTCTGGGAGATTCGGATACACACTGATTATCTACAATTTAAACTCCTTCCATAATTTCTAATTACCATTTCAAAACTCAAAGGAGTTAAGCTTTTTTGATATCCAAGATATTTCAAACATTGAACTTAGGATTTGGGCTATGATAAAAATGATCTCCATCATTTCATACCTGAGAGAACTGATATAACTAAAAACAGTCTGTTTTTACTCTTCAGTCTTAAGGGTCTGTACTTGTAATTTATTTTCATTGTACACAGAATATTCTGGATTTTTTATTAGTAACTTTAGCTGTTTTGAGTTAATATTTTTCGCTAGTGTAGACTATGGTTTTTGGCCATTACAATTTTAGGATGATAATTAATGATCAGTCAAAAGGTACCAATGATCAGTCGCAGGGTAAGGTTGATCAGTCACAGGGTAATGTTGATCAGTCACATGGTAACATTGATCAGTCACAGGGTACTATTGATTAGTCAAAGTGTAACATTGATCAGTCAAAGGGTATAGTTGATTAGTCAAAGGGTACTGTTGATCAGTCAAAGGGTACTGTTGATCAGTCAAAGGGTACTGCTGATCAGTCAAGTCACAGGGTACTGTCGATCAGTCAAAGGGTACTGTTGATCAGTCACAGTGTACAGTTGATTAGTTAAAGGGTACCATTGATCAGTCAAAGGGTACTGATGATCTGTCACAGGGTATTGTTGTAAATCAAACATAGCCCTCTTTGCTTGGATGGTCACTCAAAACAATGCCTACAATTCCTTTAACTAATTGAATCAAAAGTAAAGATATTAATAGAGAAATCTAATACATATGATAAAGTTTCTTAATTTATATAATTAATATGATAAAAATAGATTTGAAATTCATTATTAGTCTGAGTTCAGGATACCTTGTTGAATTATGATCAGAAAATTGGTAATTGAATGAAATTATTAACAACTAGATGTTTGTTTACCTTAAGAAATTATTCAGATATTCCTACTAGTGATAACAGTGTGTTCCAATGCTCAAAGAACCAGGTTTCAATATGTTTCACAGGTTTTAGGGTAGAGAAGGGTCTATTAGACACATCTTATTTAAGTTACTATTAGACATTCCTAAGGCTAAAGATAATTGTTAGGTAACGTTTTTCTCACATTTATAAATCTTTTTTAATGACAATATTTTATGGCCATGAAAAATTGGGCTATGGACATGCAATGCAATAATATACCTTTACTCTAAGGCCTCCTACTCTTACTCTAAGGACTTAACATAGTATTAGATCCTCAAGTCTTTGAGGGTTAAATATGCAAGCTAGTAGAACCTGCGATATGGCCCCACATCTATTGACATGAACATGGTTTCCCATACAGTAAGAAACTTTAGCGGTGATACATAACTTATTTACACTTTTTCTTTGTTAACATAATTGTTGATTAAGTTTTTATTTTAAAAAACGATCATTTTTTAAAAAAACAATTAAGTTGTTTTTATAAAAACAATCATTATTCGTTTTCTAAAAGTTTTAAAAAAATGAAAAACGAAACAAAAAAGGAAAATTTTCAAAATTGATGAACAACCCTAAGGGTAGACATATTTATGATTTAAGAAAACTGTTCATTCCACATATTTTACTGTTTTTTTCAAAATATCATGTTCTTAATTTTGGTTAAACTAACCATTGTAATGGTTAATATTGTGTGACTAAAATTAATGTTAGATATAATTGTAGGAGAATATTTATGTTATAACTTACAATATGATGGTTTTAAAATATTAAAAAAGTATTAATAGTTTACAAATAAGGATATGTACTTGGCTATTAACATAAACCTTGACTAATTTGTATGATGTGGTTGTGAATTAGAAATCCCATTTGTTAATTGTTAACATTCTGCCATTTGTTTACAGTTATATGTGTGGCTTTTATGGGAACAATTTGACTAAGAGGAATTATTGATAGTTACAAACATATTTTAATACATGCATACAAACATTGCAGCTTTATTTTCTAAACTAAGCATATATTTTATTAGTTGCAGGAATTATTTACAGGCTACAGTAAAAAGCAAATTTGAAACAAAGGGAAAAAAACTTAAGAAATATTTAAAACTTCAAATTTGTAAATTTGTCAAAGGGACACAGAAGATCTTACAAGCATCACAAATCCAGACAACGCTGAAGAACTAGAAAACTTTGAAGATCAAGGAAGTGTAGATGATCAAGATTATTAAGAAAATCAAATAAGAAAAAATAATAGAAAGGGGGGAGATTCAAACAGAAGAGAGCAAGGTGAGCTTTAATTGTTCTTTTAGACATTCAAGGTTTTTGAATTTAAAAATTGTATGTGTTAAATTTTGTATTCTGACACATGATGTAGGCCAAAGGAAAAAATTGTTTTGATAAACTTAATTTGAATTGCAACTTGTAAATAAGATTAGATTTTTAGATTTGAATTTATCATTTTACAAGATTATTTAAATAATTCAGGTGGAAAGGTAAACTGTAAAAAAGTTGGATGAGCTTGCTGTGGAGAAAATGGAACTTATGGAAGAAAATGCAGGAAGGTACAATAAGACCATTAAAACTGTGGAGTTGAAAGATTACTGTTTGCCTCAATATGCTTTTTAAATAGTTCAAAATGAACATGAAGCACAGCCATTAAACAGTTAGGGTTTGACAGCTTTTTAAAGAATGGTGGTTTTGTTTAAATAGAATTAGTTTGGCATTTCTTCTGGCTGTTTTAACTTGACTCTCTGACTACACTGTCAACAATCACAATATTTTTCCATACCACACTGGTTCAGTCTGCATGGGTTTTTCCTATTCAAGCTAGATTAGGGTAAGTAATTTGTACTGGGTCTGATATCAGTTGTAAATTGTGCATCAAAAGAATCTGCTGTTACTAGTAAATACTTGACAGATTTCATGCTGGGATCATTATCAGTTGTACCGGCCAGAATTAGTAAATACCTTTACAAAATTCATTCCAGGTCAATTATCATGTATAAATGTTGATGATATGACAAAAGAGCCTACCAGTATTAGTAAAAACTAGAACAATGGATCATGAGACTGAAAACCAATGTGATACTTTTTCTTAATCATCAATACAAAATTATTGAAATCCTAAAATAAAGATATTATTAAGGGTGGTTGGTGTGTGCGTGGGAATGGTAAAACAGGCAAATGTATTGGAGGTGAAATGTAATTTAGAAATTATTTAGAATTTAGAATATAGATTTGGCCCAAAATTAGTATCATGTTAACTATAACAATTTAAAACCATTTTCTTATTTATTGTGAAATCAAGCTCAGAGAAAATGTCTTTACTCTTAATCAGCTAAGAGAAGAAGAAGAAGAACAACAACAACAACAACAACAACAACCACTACAACTACAACAACTACCCCATCATGTAACCAGTTATGTACTGCAGTAAGTTAATAATTTCAAATTAATTTCTCATTTAAATTTTAACATAACTTTAATTTAAAATGAATGTCTAACAAGTCTTGAAGCTAAAAAAGTGACCAAAACCATATTTTGTGGTTAAAAAAATGTTATTTTGTGATAATAAGGTAATCACAGAGCCCAATGTTAAATGTTAAATAGTTTAATTTAGTTTGTTCAAAGCGGCTTTCAGGGTCCAAGACCACCTCAGGAAAACTCAATAAACTTTAGTTTCAATCAAAAGCATTATTATAACACATCAAGTTTGAATCACTCAACACAGCATTTAAAGGGAGAGACCAGCTAGACATGGTAGTTAAGCTGAAAGTGCAGAATTGTAAAGAATAACTTTAGGGTTCTTTGATACCAATGAGAGATTTTTGCAGAGTGCAATTTTTAAATTAAGCATAAAGTTGTTTGTAATCTTTCACTATTTGTTCCAGCAACAGTAGAATTTTTTTTTACAATTCTTAAAAAACATGTAACACATAATATTTTACGAACTAGTTGCATGTTTACAAACAGGTTAAGAAAAATAATGATTTTATATCATTGAAAATAAGTTATTAAGCTACCCTTGATGGAGGTTTTATTTTTCTCATTGTGAAGACAATTCATTTTACAAAATCTGAATAAAATTATAGAAACAGCAAAGAAACTATGATATTAAAATAATCAATTTTATGGTTTTACTATGGCTTTCATTGATAATCTTTTTTAAAGAAATATGTTCTCAAACAGCAAATAAGTCTTTAAAATATTCTTTTTTAAATGTCTGTTTGTGTTATTTAATAATTGTTATAAAACATTTCTTTTGCTGATTGAAACGACTGGTGAAATATTACAAACAACTTTACGATCTTAATTAAAAATTGTAAATTGTAAAAATGTATCATTGTTTCAAATGAATTTTAAAGTTTTTTTCTACAATACTGCACTTTTAGCTCAACTACAACACCTAGCTGGTTTTCTCTTTTAAAGACAATAAAGTATGATATTGAACATTTATGGAAGTCTTCAGTTGGTTATGAAAAAATTAGTTGGAAAGAATATTTGCCCATGAAAAATCAGCATAAGTTTTAATATCATATTTTGTGGAACCAACTGCATGTGTATTAAATCTATTAAAGCTGAGAATTAATTTTTTAAAATTAAATATCTTATGGCAAAACAGCTTTTGTTTTAAAAACTACTTAAAAATACAGTCCTCTTTACATTTTAAGGGACGGCACTAAAAAATTCTATTATAATTTCCATGTTATATGGGACTTTCTGTATTTATCTATTGTTCATTTTGTTGGTATTAGAATTGCTTAAGCAAGGGAGACAGCTATCAGGGAGACAGCTATCAGGGAGACAGCTATCAGGGAGACAACTATCAGGGAGACAACTATCAGGGGGATTATGGAGTTTGTAATTCTTTTTGAGTGAGAAACAGGACTTTGTAATTCTTTTTAATTAATTTTCTGTAACTTTTACAAAAAAAGAATCTGTAACCTTATTTTTATTTTATTACAGTAAAAATCTATATAAAATCAAATATTTTCATTCTAATCTTCTTAAAATTTATTGTTTTTTATGATTGTTGTTTGCATAAAATAAACAAATTAGAGATAAGTAAAACAAAACAAAACAAACATTAATTTTTTAAATCATTACAATCATTTTACTGTTTATTTTATCTCACTGCATGTTTTCAAAGTTTAAATTGATTGAATAAAATAAACATTTGTCACACTGAGAAAATTGGAGGCAGCATGTAAAAGTTTAGTGTCTCCTATATATAAATTTTGGCTTGTCTGGGTGTTTGTCTGTTTGTTTGTATCCAATAAACATCAAAACGGCTGAACTGATCGGGCCCAAATTTTTTGTGGGACATCACATGACCACAGTGAAGGCTTATGAATGATAAAAATTTTTTAAAAATGTGTTTTAAAGGTTTTTAATTATGTAAAAACATTTAAATTCTTGAAAATCCAGGATTTTTTTAAAAAATCCGCAAAAATTTTTTTCTGCTTTGTTTTAAAATGTAAACAAAAAAAACATGTTCACAATTTAAATAGAAGATGGGCGCAAAGCGCCCTAAATGCCTAGAATTAAGGGCGTGAAGCGCCTTGAATTTCTAGTATCTTAATATTTAAGACCAACTGCAGACTTTACTAGCTGAGGCAATTTGACCAGGTTCAGAAAATAATGTTTTTAAAGAGTAATTTGTATTTCCTTATGCCCATTTTGGACAAAACTTTATATTTTCAATAAAGTGCACACATTTTGCTTGAGACTCTTTACGCCATAAAATACATGCACATTACATACTTTTTAGTTTCACAGTTCCACCCCTGCTCTCAAGCTGTCAAGCCTTGTCACTTTACCTTCCCCTCTCATAGGGGCCCAATTCAGCTGATTTGTCAGTAAACATTGACACTTTTTAAATGGATTTCAAAAAACCACTTGGTTCAGCCATACAAAGATTTTGTTAACAACGTAAAGCTGAACCTGATACTATTAAAATAACTTTCAGGAATTTTAAATGGTTTAGAACAAGAAATAGGGGTCAGAAATGACGTGAGTCAGACTCTAATAAAAACGCATAAAGTACTTCCAGTATATATATTTCTTATAACTTATTACTAGAGGGTTCAGAACATGAGTCTATATCAATATCACAAGTGTTAGACTGTCCGTCAGTACAATGCCTCGTATCCGGTCTATCTCATTCCGTTGAATCTTGTGGAACTTGTTTAAGGCGGCCAGGCATCGTCTTCCACATTACCCAGGGGAGAGGCCGGAGGCTGGAGGTGGAGGCTAGCGATAAAAAACTCATTGAATGATGAAGCACTCTGGATTAAAATCTTTGGTTTGACTCATTGAGATTAAATGTCACTTTCTTCCTCTTTGTTGGAGTAACGGCGGAGGATTCTGTAACAACTTTCCGAGACTGTCCTCTACTCTAGGGGGATTGGAGGAACTGGAGGAGGTTGGCGTGGGGGGTCTGCCTCTGCGTGGAGGTGCTTCTGGAGCTTCATAATCTGCCGTGAAAGCTGGTTTGAGGCGTTGAACTGAAACCACTTCTACTCTCTTGCCAACTTGGAGCTGAAAGGTTTTAAGGGAGTGGGATAAAACCTTGTGAGGAGCTTCGTAGAGTGGAGCTAGAGGAGCAACATGTCCATGCAGAAATATTATGACGAGGCGGAACAGGTTGAAAACCAGACATCGAATTTTTAAGGTTTTTATAGAACAGATTGGTTGGGGGATCTTGTGCTTGAAAATTGAGTAGGGAGTAGAAGAGAACCATCCTGAACTGGAACAGTGGCAAGGCGGAGGGTGGGGGAAACCTCTAGGCGGGGTACATCAGGGCAGGACAGTTGTTTTTTAGCTAATTCTGAAAAATTTATCACTTAAGAAGTTGGAAAAGGTGATGGAATTGTTGAAACTGACACCTCAGACACCTCTGACACCTCAGCTCCAGGAGCAGCTGAGGTTTAACTTATTAGCTCCAGGAGTAGCCGAGGTTTAGCTTTTTAGCTGCAGGAGTAGCTGAGGTCTAGCTTATTAGCTCCAGGAGTAGCTGAGGTATAGCTTATTAGCTCCAGGAGTAGCCGAGGTTTAGCTTATTAGCTCCAGGAGTAGCTGTGTAGCCGATTAGCTTCTGGAAAAGCTGTGCAGCTGATTAGCTCCGGGAGTATCTGTATAGCTGATTAGCTGTGTAGCTCATTAGCTCTGGGAGTAGCTATATAGCTGATTAGCTCTGGAAGTAGCAGTGTAGCTGATTAGCTCCGGGAGTAGCAGTGTAGCTGATTAGCTCCAGGAGTAGCTGTATAGCTAGTTAGCTTCTGGAGTAGCTGTGTAGCTGATTAGCTCCGGGAGTATCTATATAGCTGATTAGCTCCGTGAGTAGCTGTGTAGCTCATTAGCTCCGGGAGTAGTTGTGTGATTTGAATGTTTCTGAAGGCATCCTCTGCATGAAGGAACCACAAGTAGGGGTCCTACTTAACGGAGACTTTGGCAATGTACTCGGTTTGAGTTTCTTTCTGGTCCGTCATGATGCTCGGATGTATCACTTAATGTTCAAAGTTAAAGAAAATCACGAAACTGGATAGCGTTTAACTAAATGTTCAAAGTCAGGGGTCACCAATATAGAGGACATGAGTCAGACTCTAATAAAAACGCATAAATAACTCCAATCGGAGGAGGCTAGACGAGCACGTAAGGAATTCTTTAACTGCCTGTGGAACCTTTCCACCATGCCGTTGGACTGAGGGTGGAAAGCTGTGGTGGTTTTGTGCTTGATCTTGAGTAGGGAGAAGATGGCGGACCATAGGGATGAAGTGAACTGGGCTCCTCTGTCACTTGTAATCACTGCAGGTACGCAAAACCTTGAGATCCATCCATGGAACATGGCGGAGGCACACTCCGCTGCAGAAATCCCAGTTAGAGGTATAGCCTCAGGCCATCTTGTTGATCTGTCGATGCATGTTAAGAGGTATGTAAAACCATTAGATGAGGGTAAGGGACCAACAAGGTTTACATGTACATATACAAATCTTCTGAACGAATGTGAACTTGGCGGAGGCGGAGGTGGAGGCATCAGTGACGAGCGATACCTCGGCGGATGGAGAAGGATGTGTGAGAGACACGGCAGAAGAAAGGGATTTGGCTCTGTCAAAGGCGTCCTGTAATTCCTGGGACCAGTTAAGAACCCGTGGATTTCCGGCTAGGGCATCAGTGAGAGGGCGGAGAGTTCTTGCAATCTGGGTAAAAAACGGCGGTAAAAGTTGATCATGCCTAGGAACCTCTGGAGACCACGTACATCCTGGGGATGTGGTTGGAGGAGTAGGGCATCTACATGACGACGTAGGGGAACGATGCCNACAATCTGGGTCCAATGTTCACAAAAAAGTCATTAAAACCCTCTGCTATTTCAGCAGATCCCACAAAACTTTTTTCATCATCAGTGAAAATATCAGGAACTGAATGACTTTTTTTCTTAGAAGATATAATAGAGTTCAGTAAAGACCAGGTTTAAACACACCTTTCTAATACTTCATCCATCTAGAATGAAAAACTTATATTATAAAATACTTTTGGTACATGTATTTTGCATTTTCACAATAAAAATTGTATTTTGGGATAATGTCTAAATTATTTTTTTCAAACGTGAATTATCAATTGGATTCTGATTAGTACTTTCTCATGCCAATATTCATCTCTAATTTGAAATATTATTCTATATGCTTTTCACAAAAAAATATTGTGGGCCCTTTATGGTACATCCTCTGCAGAGATGATTAAGATACTAAAATTATCTCAATTTTGAACTTACACCATTAAGGTTTACAAATTAGTTTGGGGCTGAACAAACTTTCCTAGCCACTCTGTCAATTTAAATTGAAAGTGAAAATAAGGACTAAAACTATATATTTGTAATTTCTTTTTTATATCATATTGTCCTATCAGTATTGAATGGACAATTCAACAATTTTTGCAATGATTTTATGATTGAAACTTTGAATGCACAAATCCTCTAAACAAAAAACTCTTTAAGGACACCTTCTGAAATAAAAACCCTCTTTTTTTGGATCACCCTTTATAAATATATATTTTTTACAGAAGTACCTAGTGATTTTTTCAAAATAATTCTTTAAAAAAGTAGTCTTATTAAAAAATGTATTAAAATTAATCAAATCAAATTTAATAAAGTGTTTGTTCCTAAACCTTAAAATTCATCAGAACCACTCATACCAAGTAAACAAATACATTTGTCTTCACTTTCAAAATTGCAGATGGCTAGTGTAAGAAATTTAACTAGCATGTATAGAACTAAATATGCCTTTATAGAGGACGTGAGTCAGACTGTAATGAAAACGCATAAATAAATTCCAGTATATATATTTCTTATAACTTATTACTAGAGGGGTTCAGAATAATAGTTTAGTTCGAGATCACACGTGTAGATGTTTATCAGTACTGTGCCCCGTATCCATTCTATCTCATTCTGTTGAATCTTGTGGAACTTGTTTAACGTGGCCAGGCATCGTCTTCAACACCTTTAATAAAAAATGTCCATATAATTACTTAATTAATAAGGAGCAATGTATGTAAACCTGTGTTTTTGTTAAAATAAAATATGGTCAGCTTGTACCATGTAATTCTATTTTAATGACCTCCTATAATTCTAAACAAGCTGGGGGGCATTTGGCGCCCCCTGTTGTTTTCTTCTTTCTGGTGCTCTCATTTTAGTGAATAATTTAAAGGACATTTTGTTAAAATTTATTGGGTAGGGTACAGGGTGGAAAAAAAAGTCTGGTCTGTGAAAAAAAATCCTAAATAGCCCAAAACTTTTTTGTGACTAAAACTAGAGATCTAAAATCTATATTTTTGAAAAGCCCTTTAAAAATACATGTAGAAACATGTGTCATACTTTGATATTTGTTTAAAACAAAATCGAATATTTTTTTCATTTGTTACCCTGTACTATACTCTAAGCCCTTTTTATGGGAGGGGTGGGGGGCAGCTATACATAGATTCAGACCCCCCAGCCTTTATATGGTTAAAGTTACCTCCTGATCTATATCCTATACTTAAGATGAAAAAGGCTAGTAGATCATGAGCCATAAAGCAATAGCTTATATTTTACCATCATAGCTTACTTAGGTAATAACATTTTTTTAAATAGATATTCCCTGAAAATAAGTGAGTAAATAGGATCCAATCTCTGAATTTAATATTTTTCTACTCTAAAAGTTTGGTGTTGTAAGCTATATGGGATTTAATTGTATTACTGTGCCTTAGTTTGGAATCTGGTAACACATTCATGTATCCATGCTTTAGTATCTTGGATCTATCAGTATGAAGTGTTTTACTGCTAAATTTGTGAGCAAGTTGAAATACCCTTTCCATGCAAGAGTTGTTCACAGCCACTCTCTTGGTCCTCCTTCCTCCTTAAGTTTAACCTTTCATACAGAGCTTTAATAGTTATTCAATGTCTCATTTTTGATTGTCTGAGTTTTAAATCAAACTGCAATCATCTGTACACAGGCATTTTTCATTTAACTTCCATAATTATTACGTTTTTTATTTTCTTATTATCTTTAAATTCAATTAGATAATTAGATTAAAAATCAGTACACTGTAAGAAATCTGATATTTTAATCAAATGCATTAAAAACTAAATATGTCAGTCGGGAATTTTTTTTATCTAAAACATTTACTATTTAGTGGAACCTCTGTTTGTGGATTTCTAGTTTTATCTTTCATTGGTTTATTCCAGAGTATTCAAGAACCAAACTTAAAAAAGATATATATAAAATACAAATACGAAGATGTTTAGTCATATTTGTTTATTTTTTAATTATTAATGAAGTGGACACTAAATCTATTTAATTGCAACTATGTGTTATGGAGTAGAGGAGCCAGCAACCATCAAACTGTGATTTTGTGTCTCCATAACACATTGTTGCAAATAATGGATTAGACTGCAGCAAGAAATGTAAATTAAACTTTAAAGATTTGTAAAAAATTATAAAAAGTTTATTTTAAACAATTAAATGAAATTTCTAAAGTTAACTTATTACATTTATTTACTGTTAAGTATAATGTGTTCCAGTTTATTGCAGATAGATTCCTTGTTTTTCCACAGAGACAATTACAACCCAAGAAACCTACTGAAATTATGTTCAGACAACTGGTAATTTTATTATTTATAAATTAAGCACTTTTAAAATTCTTGGAATCATGAACACAAAATAAATCAAATTTCAGCTTATATTGTATTAATATCTATGAATGTAATTTTGTTAAGATAAAAAAAACAACTGTGTAATTCTTTTAGTAGAACAATTGAAAGTTACATTCTCTAATATTTCAGATATTACTTTTGCTGGTAATTCTAATTTGCATTCAAGCTCAAAACAGAAAGTTTTCAAACAGGTTTTGTTTACCATTAAATTAAAGGTAGAATAGGCAAGTTTATGATTTTTAAAAACTTTTTTTTTCCACATATTTTACACATATTTTCAAATTGTCTTATTCTAAAATTTGGTTGAATTAAAAATGATTAAAACTTTTTCTAGACATAACCAGACCAATAAGAATGGTTAATTGTTGTGTGATTGTTATCAATGTTGCATATTATGTGGATTTAATTGAAGTAGAAGGACTATGGATTATGTTATAACTTACATTATGATGGTTTTAAAAAATATGATTAAATATCGATAGTTTAGGGTATGTTCTTGGCTGTTAAAACACAATGATCATGATCATGTTTCATGTTGTTAATTTATGATCATTTAAATTTCTCGGCAAACCATTCTAACTGCCTGTGCTAATCTTTATGATGTTGTTGTGAATGCGAAATCACATTTGTTATTTGCAAGCATGCTGCCATTTGTTTTAAATAAACAAGGCTCTTAAATAAACAATTTGACTAAAAGGCATAATTGATAATGACATACTACATTCTTAAATGCATGGATGCAAACAATGCTGCCTGGTAGTAAGAGATTTTCTAAATGTATTTTAATAATTGCAGGAATTATTTATACCTTTTCTAAATAGGCAAATTTGAAACAGTGAATAAAGTAGCTTAAGAAACACTCAAAACTTTAAACCTGTTTAATATTTATCAAAAGGGACAAAGAAGATCTAACAAGCAGCAAAGATCTTGATGGAGAAGATAAAGGAAACCCAAAAGATCTCAAAGATAGAGAATCTACAGAAGGCAGAGAAGATTTAGATGACAAAAAAAGCAAAGATGATAAAGGAAATAAAGTTAACTTTGAAAAGAAAAATAATGAAAGAAGCAAAAAAAACAGAAACAGAAATAATCTAGTGGAGTTACCAAACCTAGAGGATTCTAGAGAACCAATCATCATAGGTGAATATTTATCATTTTAGTTCATATGTTAATCCCATCCCTATTGGGCTATCTTTGTCTAATATAGGTTGAGGTTGGGGGGGGGGGGGTTCCAGTTTCCCCCTTTTCCCTTGGATTTTGCACTTAGAATTGAGATAGGTGAGTTTTCCTTGCCTAACTTTTAAAGACAGCTCACATTAAAAAATATAACTTTTGAGATGTAAATTTTTATTTATTGCTAATACACTTAAGTTATTTCTTTACATATTTTCAAGTTCAAGTTTTAAAGCATCTAATATTGGAATCAGAAAAGTTAACTCCCCTTTTTAATCTGGTTTAGGTTCAGGTCAGACACAGGACTTGGTTTAGGTTCAGGATGATGATGAGGTTTCAGTTTTAGTCTCAAGTTAAGATTTAGTGCTTAAGTTTCTATCATCTCCATCCAAATTAATCCATGGGACAGAAGATGAAGCAAGAGATTTAGATCTTGTTTTTCTGTTTCTCTAGGGGGTAGAAACAGAGTTTACTGTTTCTCTTGGATTGATCACATTCATCACACAAACTGACTTGAGGAATTTTTGTAGACCTTTTCTTGGACTGGGGAATCTTGTGGGAACCTCTCTTATGGCTGGAGGAGAGGAGGGGTTCTTAAAGACCTCTTCTCTGACTGAGGAGTTCTTGTGAACCTTTAC